AGTAAACGTTACCCGTGGGGTTAAAAACCTAAACGGCGGAAACGGGTAAAAGTCTGGAGCAGGTTATGGCAACATGGCGACCCGTGGGGCTAGCGGGAAGAAGGAGGATAATAATGAATGATGGCGGAAGGAGGGAGGGCAGACTGATAAGGGAGAGCGCTGTGCCTGTGTGCGTCCTCAAAGACACGCAGTGGGAGGGGAGGGGAGAGTGGGATGAGGAGGGGAGGGAGGTGTTATTGTGTGGGTGAGGAGAGTGTTCGTTTCTGCTCCCCCCAGTGTGTCTGTCGCTGCGTGCGGCTGATTGGAGTGTGGCGAGTTGAGGAACAGAAGAACCCCTGCCGATCATTGGCTAAATACTTACTACATTTATTTGCACACATAAGATGACATTTGAAATGTCTTTATTATTTTGGAACTTTTGTGAGTGTAATGTTTACTGTTCATTTTGATTGTTTATTTCACATTTGTTTATGATCTATTTCACTTGCTTTGGCAATGTTAACATGTGTTTCCCATGCCAATAAAGTCCATGAATTGAAATTGAAAAATTGAAATGGCAGGAGGGAGAGAGAGAGAGATGGAGGAAGGGAGGGAGGGAGGGAGAAAGAGTGGTAAGGAGAGAAGGAGAGGGATAAATAGACAGAGAGAGAGAGAGATGGAGGGAGAGAGAAGGGAGAGACAGAGGGAAAGCTGTGAGAAGAGAAAGAAGGGGGGAGATTTCAACATGTTGATCTCTTGTAAATGGACTTGTTCATGACCACAGCAGCTTCCAGTCTAATGCCTGAACAGTACAACACTGCCTCTGTGTTAGAATGGGTTCATTACCACCTGTAGTTCTACAGCATGGGCAAAGCCAGTCGCTCCATGAGTCCTCATCAACCTGCAGGCTACTAGACTAGGCATTTATATACAGTCTGCCATTTAGCAGACACTTGAATCTCAAACAACTTGGTGTGATTGCATATATTATATAAAAACAAATAAATAAATAAATAAAAGCACACAGGACCAACTGAGCCACACAGCACCTACCCTCTACTCTCTAAACAGCACCTACCCTCTACTCTCTAAACAGCACCTACCTCTACTCTCTAAACAGCACCTACCCTCTACTCTCTAAACAGCACCTACCCTCTACTCTCTAAACAGCACCTACCATCTACTCTCTAAACAGCACCTACCCTCTACTCTCTAAACAGCACCTACTCTTTAAACAGCACCTACCCTCTACTCTCTAAACAGCACCTACCCTCTACTCTCTAAACATCACCTACCCTTTAAACAGCACCTACCCTCTACTCTCTAAACAGCACCTACCCTCTACACTCTAAACAGCACCTACCCTCTACTCTCTAACCAGCACCTACCCTTACTATCTAAACAGCACCTACCCTCTACTCTCTAAACAGCACCTACCCCCTACTCTCTAAACAGCACCTACCCTTTAAACAGCACCTACCCTCTACTCTCTAAACAGCACCTACCTCTACTCCTAACACACCTACCTTAAACAGCACCTACCCCTACTCTCAAACAGCACCTACATCTACCTCTAAACAGCCCTCCCTCTACTGTCTAAACAGCACCTACCCTTTACTCTCTAAACAGCACCTACCCTTTAACGCACTACCCTCTACTCTCTAACAGCACCTACCCCTACTCTCTAACGCACCTACCCTTTAAACAGACCTACCCTACCACTCTCTAAACAGCAACCTAACCCTCTACTCTCTTAGAATACAGCAACCTACCCTTAACGCACTACTCTTCTAAACAGCACCTCTACCCTCTTAAAACACACCTCTA